CTTCATCCTCCTTTTCTCCAGGAATAAATCAGATCTTTGAGCCATCTGTACCTGAACTTCCAGTCTCAGCAAGTTGGACCAGAGCTGGAAGGGTTTTGTCACCAGCCCAGTGAGGGTGGACTAGGTCACCCAGTCTGCAGTGAGCCTGTCACGAGTTTGAGAGCTTTTGACCATTGTCTGGGGGCAGATTTCCTCAGTGTAATGATCTGTCAAACAGCGATGGTTTCTGAGAGAAAAACCTGTGGCCATCTATAATCCTTCCCATCTAATCTCTTCCAGCCTTTAAAAATAATTTCCAACTCTTTCCATTCCCTTGATGCCTTTAAATTTGTCAGCTCTTGGCTCTGTGGGAAGGGAAAGGCCCTTTCCTTCTCCTGTCTATGCTTGCCTGGTAAGATTTTAGCACTAATGGGTTTTTTTAATTGTTTATTATGAAACACACAGACACAGAGCCCCTTGGCAAGGGCACCCTAACTGAGTCTTCATCCTTATAATAGAAAAGCTAATTCAGTATGGATCTGTCCTCCAGTTAAGGGCATGCACATCCCTTAGGGAACGGTATTACTGACTGACCAGACTTGTGTTAGGAGCTGCTGTTTGCTTTTCCTGACAGATCCCATTGTCCTGCCTCTGGAAATGGCTTTTTTGACGGCTGCTACAGTAACATTCTTGTGTGGGATCAGCCTGGTCCTGGGCCCTCCTCTAACAGTGCTGCTGTACTTCCAGGACTACTACATCATCCACTGCTGGGAGGACTCAGCTTGGAGACTGTTCCTCTGACCTGCCCAGAAACTAGTTGTCTTCTATTTTCTCCCTACCTTTCTACACTAAACGTAGCTGGCAATACAACCCCAGGTTTGAAGTCCACTTACCCTTACTATGGAAAAATCTACCGAGGCTGTAAAATTCCCATCTGGCTACAGAGAGAAAAATAAAGAATTGCTGGTTGGTGTCTGTCCATAGTGAAGGTGAGGGAGTCGAGCAGAGCTGAGAGCTGCAAGGATCTGTGCCTTGGTCTCTTCTCATGTGTGAAGTGGCTGAAGGGTGGCTGATACCTGATCTGAGTAAAGCCTCCCACAGTGAAACATGAGCCCACTGACATGTATAAGCAAATCTGAGCCATCAAGGTGGGTTTATCCTGGATCAGCTCTTTGCACCATCATTATAACATTGAACAAAGGCCTCCTCAGACACTTCTGCCTTGGCTTTCTTAATACCTTCCCTCTCTTTTTATTTGCTGTCCTCTGTTCTTATTGGGAGGGAAGGATTTCGTGTGGGACAGGACTGTGAGGGAATTTAAGGATCCACTGATCCCAGTGTTCTTCAAAAGATATTGAGACAATTCACAAAATGTCTCTTGAGTCACTTGGTGCCCTCTCCATGCGAATTCCAGCCAAATGCTCCACTGAGCTGCTCCAGCCCATGGACCAGGGCACCATGGGTCACACCAGGGAACAGTGCCCTGCCACAGCTGCTGCAGGCAGCACCCTCAACGGTCTCCATGTGTGCTTTGATAAAAAAGCAAGGTTCCTGTCCAGAGACATATTCAAGCCATGGAGCTGGCTAAGTAAGCCATGCAGCAGATCTCCTGTGCAATAGCTCTGCTTGCCTGGAGTCATCCACTACTGGCCACACAGTCCCAGGACACCTTCTCTGAGGATGGCAAACACCATCACCTCTGGGTGTTAGATAAGTTTGTTCACCTGTGCTTGCTATCTGCTGAAATGAATTCAACCAAGAGGGACATGCTGGTGGCTTCATTCTGCCATGCATGCTGGTACCTGACCCATCCAGGCCATGCATGCCTTCACCACAGGAACCTCCATTGCAGCTGCTGCCTCCAGCACAGCACCAAAACCAACCATCGCAGCACTAGAAGTCTTACAAGATTACTCACAGGTGCCTCAAATCTTGCCTTGGAGACGAATCTTGCTTTGAAGATTTTTCTCCAAGGCAAGATTTGAACCATCTGTGAGTAGTCCTGTAAGACTTGAAGGCATCAGTGACTAAAACTTGCTTTCTCACAGAGCTCTTCAGCAAAGACAAGATGCATCATGCTTGCTGGGCACCCAGCCAGAAGGACTGTCACCAGAAGCCAGGTGTCAAGACCTTAAAGCTAAGGCTGGCAGCAAAGGGAGCTATATCATCTGGAAACACAAAAGGAGAAGCACAAACTGCCAAGGAGGTGACTTAAGAGACATATCATTGCACAACAGGCAACCAGGCTTGGGGAAGGAAGCAGCACTCAGCTCTCAAACATCTCAGTGCGCTTTGGTAACACGAGCTTTAATCAAAGCCTTTGCACTGGCAGTGTGGCAAGTACCACACAGCATTTGTTTTTCTAGGTGGTGAGCTGAATGAACGTGTCTCAAAGGCTGCGAGTCGTGATGTTCAGATTGGTTTGGCTGGGTTGGTGTTTTACTGCAGTCAATAGGTTTTTATCAGATGCTTTTACTCAATAAATTTTCCTTGGTAGTGGGAACAATCCAGCAAATAATATAAATGATGGAGCACCAGGAGACATGCAGCCAAGGATATCACTTGTTTGGCTGGATCCCCTCCTGCACAAGGAAGGTTTGTGCAAGCTCACAGAAGTGCCCTGTTCAGCTTGCTGTAGGCAGAGCTGGCAGCAGGCTTCAGGCTTTGTGTCCGTGCAGAGTCAGGCTGTCTTTGTTAACCTGGGGGCTTCAAACTCATTCGCTCCGAGGTTGCGGCCAGGCTGCTGGGAGGCTGTGGTTCCCTGCGAGAGGTGTCCATCTCCCAGCAGCAGTAGCAAGGAGGCAGCTGGTCCTTTGGGTAAAGGAAGAGGCTTGGGCTGGCCTCAGGGAGGGTCCCGTGAGCACTGCCATGGGGGTCGTGCAGCTTTGGCAGTGCTGACCTCCTCCGAGACCTGCAAAGTGGGAAGGGACCAGCGTCACCAAGCTGGCCAACCCGCAGCCAAGGTCAAGAACATGGGCTGGTCATGGTTCCAACAGCACCTGCTCTCATGTAGGTTGGCTTTGGCCACTGTGGATCTCGATAACATGAAATAAGTCAAGTCATGCTCACAGTGAGTCAGGTGCCAGGCACCTCTGGCTCAGGCATTGTCACTGTCAGCTGCTAGTGTCACCTTTGGGAATATTCTGCTTGCAGTGACATGGCATCATGTTGGAACAGCCCAGATGGTGATTGGGGACCAGCCTCAGAGTGGCAGCCCCATGGGGAGGGCAGGGTGAAACCCACCTCTCAGAGATGTTTTCCTGGCTCTTGTAGGGTTAAGTGGCCCCTTTTGGCACAAATGAGCTACAAAGGGGCCTGGGGATCCTCAGCTGCCTCCCAGCTGATTCCCATGGCATTTTAAACACAACATCACAAAAACCAGGGATAACACACACAAAAGGCCCTTCACAGTGGGACAGATAAGCACTAACAGAGTTATTGCAGGAACACAGAGAGCTGAATTCCCTATGTGCAGGACTGGCTGTATCTAGGGAGAAGAAGACAACCATGAAAAAAACATCCAAGGTTTCCGTGGGATGCCCCTGCCCCGTGCCATGGAGTGGACCCTGCCCTTACTATGTCTGCATATAATAAACATGGATTCAAATGCTGGGAGGAAATCAGTTGAGCTGACACTGCCCTAGTTTGTACACAGGTTTAAACAAGTGCTTGAACCTGGATTTCCCTCCAGCCTTCGCCCACCACCGTTTCCCTTCCCCTTAGCTGTCCTTATCCCCTGTATTGCAGATTGCTCTGGGCCTGTGCACCCACAGCTACCACACACCTCACCAGGGAGAAAAGCAATCCAGGGATAACCTCCCGGGAGCATGTCAGCCCTCCAGGAACCCCAGTGCTTTTGCTTTCTGCCTCTCACCAGCTCCTTTCACCCGTGGCTATTAATTAGTGCATACAATGGGTACTGTAATTTCTCTTTCTTAACAGTTTTCTCATCCTTGATGGAAAGAAGGCATTTTCACATCCCTCATACCATCCTACCTCCTCTGTCCTGCTCTCCAAAGGCACACTTGGCCTTTCATGAGCTGTTGCCTGGCAGTGCCCCTGTAACAGCTCCTGCTACACACCAGGTTCCCTAACCATGGTCCCCATGCATTTTGGGATCCTTCGGTTTTTTTATAAATCCCCTTAAGCAGCACCAGAGCTCCTCCTGCCCCCTGCTGCCCTTGCTTCTGCCTGCAAGGTGGGACCAGGATGGGCAGACACCCCAGTGGGTACACAGAAAGGAAGGTCCTGGGCAGGACAGGCTGTCCCAGGGAGAAACTATCCAGCAGCTCCCAGGGCAGGAGGAGTCCCTGCCTCAGAGATCCTCTC